GACTTGGAGACCAGAAGTGGCCCGGTCCACCCACCGCCCAAAGCTGGAATCTTGGCAAGACCTATCACTAGGTGGCAGACTCGGTCCATGTGAAAATCACTGGCGGCCACAACCTTCCACACCCGACTACCCCCAACCTTCCCCCCACCCCCTCCTCCTCACTTTTTGTCTGTTAGGGGGAGGGAGTTGCCATCATAGGCAAAGCTGGAAAACATTTAATTTACTAGATGTAATTCTTTTCTTCGCGATGCTCACGCCTCTGGCAACCACAACACATTATCTGGAACTGAGTCCCTGGAGTAGACTGTGATTTTTTTTCAGCCGGAAAGGCTGAATGTATTGAAAAGGGAAAGCAAGGGTGCACTTGTCTTCAAAAAGAAGAACAGAATGGCACTCCATGGCATTTAGCAGAGCTCCCTGTCAAACACTGGTCGACCAGCAAGGAAAGTCTATAGTAAACCCCTGATCCCCACAAAGAAAGCGGTCCCTGGAGCTCAGCTGCAGGGTTCCACCCAGGCTTACAGCGCTCCAAAAATCCGGGAGAGTGGGAAAGAGGGGACGAATTTGGTCTTTTGCTGGGGCCACTGATCTGAGGCCGGGAGTCGAAGAGGATTGGGAGAAGCCTCTCCTGGCTTCCAGTGGGGCGAAGAGAAGCCTGCTCGCTTTGCCACAACGCAGCACCCTCGCTGGGATCTCTGCTGCAGCGTTCCCACTTGTTGCGCAGTGCAGGGAACCAGCATGCGCCACACTAACTTCGACTCTGGTTGGGCTCCAAACCAAGCTACAGACCAGACCACCATCGCCCGCAGCAATCCCCTAACCTCACTCCCGAATCTCTCCCCCCGCCCCCACGCATATACCACCATCACCGCCAGCAAAACTACAGGGCTTCCAGTCATTATGGATCTTAACACTGCTAATAAAGCATTCCTTCTTATCTCAATGTCAGACAGGCAACAGAATTCAGGTGCTCTGAGAAGTCAAGTCGAAAGGGAAGGGAAGGGAGACAGGTAACAGAATTCAGGTGCTCTGAGAAGTCAAGTCGAAAGGGAAGGGAAGGGGGGCTACCTCCTCCAGGAGAACTCCCTTGCTTAAAGCCAACTAGGCAACCTTCCTCTCTCTCTGGTTCTCTCTCTCTCTCTCTCTCTCTCTCTCTCTCTCTCTCTCTCTCTCTCTCTCTCTCTCTCTCACTCTCTCTCTCTCTCTCTCTCTCACACACACACACACTTATTGGAACTACTTTGCTGATTATACGACACCATCCTAGCTGAAAATCAACTTTTCCTCTTCCTATTTGAGAGATCAACTGCAAAGTCCCTTTTTAAAAAGTTAGTTTTATATCTACTTGTTAAAGGCAAAAAAATAAAAAATAAATTCCTCATAAGGTCATTTCACAATATTTTTCAAATTCTTTGACTTGTGCACACAGAGTCTCACCCACCGAGGGGTGGCGCTGCCACACCACCTCCTCTGAATCTTAAGTTTTTCATAACAAAGTGGCTTGTGAGTGTGGCTACCAGGCAGGAGAGAGAGGGAAGGAAGGATTTTGACATCTAGTCATGGCTAACATTTACTCAACCAATAACTGGAACTCTTCAGGGCTCAGGAAAGGACAGCTTAAGAGTTTAGAGTCCCACCCCTGTCCACCAAGCCCAGAAAGAATTGGAAGGTCTTTTCAAGAAAGCATGGGATAAAAACCCTTCCAAACTGAGCACAGAGGAAAGGCCAATTGGAGAATTCCCCCTTCCTCTGGCTGCCTTCTCCTTCAGGTTGCCTAGTTTTCACAAACAGCTTCTGGCCTTATTGTCACAACCAACAGACCCTTAAAATCAGCCAATGCGCTTGAGCCTGCAGTATTAGAAAGTCTTCCAAATAGTATGATATTGGAAACTTCTATTTATAAATGGGGGGAGGGGAAATATTTCTCATCTACAAGTTTCTATTTTGGCCTGAAGACTCAACAGTAGTCATTTGAGCAAGGGAATGCCCATTTCCTGGTGCCCTCTTTCCATTTCTTCCTCCTCCCAAGAGACATATCTTTTCTCTCTCTCTTTTTTTTAAAGTATATATTTTAAAGCAAGAAAGTGATTTCACCTCATTCCTTTGAGCTCATGTTTGCTACCTCCAGGAATAGCGTGTGGACTAGGGCCAGATGAACTTCAACTTGGGCTGCAGATTTACGAGGTTCTGTTCCAGTGCCAAAGGCTCTTGGTAGTAAATCGTGAGCAAAACAGATACCTGTCTCCCTGACGGATCTTGCCCCCCTCTTATATTTTTTAAGTTATTTATTAAAACCACACACACACACCTTGCAAAGAAAAAGGGAAACTGGCAGTCTCTGTAGAGGAAGCCGGTGGCATCGCTCAGAGCCACAAACTGTATTTCTAAACAGCCCTTTCCCTGGTTCCCTCTCTCCTGCCCCACTTTTTTTCTTTCTGGACAGTAATAAAAAATGCATCTACTGACATTCACTTTACTTATTTAAAAAAAAAAGTTACAAGATTTTTCTTCTGGAAACTATAAACTAACTAGAAAAAAAAACCATAAAGGATTAAATTCTTTTGGGGTTTTGGGGGTGGGGTAGGTGGCTAGCTCTCTCAGAAGGGACACAGTAAACAGCTCTGGACTTTCAGCACACTGTTTAGGGTCATTTCCCCTGCTCAGCTGTCAGGACCCCCACCACCAAGTCTTAACTACTGGGAGAAGGCATACAACAGTAAAGGGGTCTTTTTCACTCTTTTAAAAATCTGTTGTGTTGTGTTCTTGTTTTTTTCATGGGGGAGCTTTAAAACTCATGATTGCAACACCAGTTCCATTTTTTGCCAGAGTTCCAATAATACAACATCATACAGGCAACGCAATCCACAGCTCTCAAGAAATTTACCATGATCTGGTCACTACAGCCGGCAGCGGGCTGGCCCCTCGCTCCAGCTGTCGCCGGGAGCAGCCGACTTCCGAGGCTCCAACTCCCAACCAGCTCCCGCCCCGGGCCGCCGCCGCCGCCGCCGCCTTCTCCCATTCCTACTCCCTCGAGAAGAGCCACAGGTTGCAAATCCAACCAACCGCACATTCCGATTTTGCAAAATCACTCACAAAGATCTCCCTTTCGCGCCCGCGCCCCCTCCTCCCGCGCCGGGTCGCCCGGCCAGGTCCACAAAGTGTTCTCTCCTCCCGGGTCTTGCACGTAGGAACGCGGGCTGGGGCTGTTTTGTTTTCCCCTCGCCCAGTGCAAGGACCTCGGTAACGTAAAGCCTAATGTTGGCCACTTTCCGGCCCGCCGTTGTCATTTTACAAAGACTGCACCATAGGAAAAATAAAATAAAATTTAGGAACCAGGGGGAACAGCCATTGGGAGCTAACACCAAGTCACGCAGTACCCAAAATACAAACACCGCGATCGCCAAGAAATCCCGCCACCTTCCTTCTCTGCTAGGCTGTCTGGTGAAGGTTCCCGGAGTCCCCACACACTGAACAGCACCGCAGGTGCAAACGCGTACCCCTTGACCACCTCCCACCCCCAAATCCCCGTCCCGCCATCAGCTTCTCTCCTTAGGATGGGAGAAGGAGCGCGCGGTGTTTCCGACTCCCTTGTCTGCAACCAAGAAAGAATAATTTCCAAAAGTATTCAACATCCCCGCCCCCAGGCAAGCTAAACCTCCCCCAAAACACAGGGAAAGGGGACACCAAAACGCTCGCATCTCGTTAGGAAGATCACGGCTCTGAACGGAAAAAGTAGAAACTATACTTCATCCGAATTTTAAGGGGATTAAAAAAAAAAAAGCCACCGAGGAGTTCGATTGCATTTTTCCTTCAAAATCTCGGCTCGGAGGCAGTCAATCTAGAGGACCGAGGCCGGTGGAAGAGAGCCAGCGGGACGAGCGAGCGGGCGGTCTCCCTCCTCGCCTCCCGGAGTTACTAAGAAGGACGGGAAGGGGATGGCAGAAGAGGCCAGGGCAAGGTGGAGGGACGGAGGGAAGCCGAGGCAGGAGCGAGGTTAGCAAGGGAGGCAGTTTGCAAGCTAGAAAAGAGGGGGAAAACACAGCCGCACGAATCCAGCGAGATCACAAGCCGTACGCAAGCAGGCAGCAGAAAGAGCGAGAGCGAGGGCGAGAGCGCGAGCGCGCGTCCTCTCCGCGGTCTAGGGCCAGACAGCCCCCAGACTTGCCCCAAACACCCCCCAAACACTGTCTCGTCCTCTCTGCTCAGGCCGCCCCCTAACTGTCCTCCTTCCTCTCCTCCACCTCCTTTTAAAAAACCAAAACAACACAAGGGAGGGTGGCAAAAAGCCTCCCCAAACCGGCCGATTCACTCAGACAACAAGAATCAAATAACAAATACATAAAAATCTATATCCTAGAGTGGGAGAGACGTGGGACTAATCTTCGGCATTTATTTTAACACCTGACAGCTAGAATAAATAAATATATACATTTATATCAATAGATACACATAGGAAACTTGGAGCCAAAGCATTTGGCAAGAGCGGAAAAAAAAGAATTAAAAGGTAAAATAATGATCATGAGCAGCGGCGGCGGCAGCGGCACCAGCGGCAACAGCGGCGGCGGCGGCGGCAGCAGCAGCAGCGGCGGCAGCAACAGCAATAATCACCTGGTGTCCGGCCTTTCCTAGAAACTTCTTGCATCACCACTTCTAAGAACCCCAGTTCTAAGAATCAACAGAGCTCAATTCTCGGAATTTGAGCTTCGGACTTTACCACTGCTACATGGCAGGGGAGGACTCTATGTCAACTCTGCGGGACTTTTGCCTCCCCTCGCCGGTACAAAGCATTCAAAGCATAATATTTTTCCACAGATCGGTATATTTAGAGGTACTACTAGGCTGGGAGTCTCGTATTTGGAGGTTCTGGTTCGAGGCTAGAGGGGGCGGAAAGTGGACCTCCCTCCCCGGACTCAGGACGATGGTACAGCCTGCTCCGCCAGCGTCACGTGGGCGGCCTCTCTGTGACGTCGGCGTCTTCGCTGTAGCAAAGCTCGGCCTCTGGAATTCTGAGAACTAATTTGCTATTCGGTGACATAAGAGGGGGAGTGCGCTTTGCTTTCCTGGGGTCTGGGGCTAATTCCTCCTCTCTTACCCATAAACTCAGCTCCTGGAGCTAAATTACACGAAAGGGAGCGAGAGATTCGAACCGTTGGGAAAAGCCTGTTATATATACTAGGTTTAGAAGCGAATTAGAGAAAAAACAAACACCACAGTTCTTTGCAGCTAGAATAGTAGGCACCACGAGAAAAATATTTGCCAAGCAGTTTTCGGTGGGTTCATTTGCTTTATTTTTATTTGGGACAGTTTTTGTTTTCCTTGTCAATGTGATGGGTTGGGATTTTTGGTGGTTGTATTTTGATGGTTTTCGGATTTTTGCTTCTGATGTTTGCCTTTTGCAAGTTTGTGGTGTTACGTAAATCGTAGGATCCCGCAAAGGTTGGATTTGGGTGTCTCGTGTGTGTGTGTGTGTGTGTGTGTGTGTGTGTGTGTGTGTGTGTGTTTCCCTAATCTCTCAAGCTTTTTAAAGAAGATGTGCTATTTTAATACTGATGCTATTACTGAAAGAAGCTGAAATTTTTGGTCGTATGTAAGCTACCCAACCCCCGCTTTTGGGGGGGTTGAGGGGGTGGTGGTGCAGCAATTTTGTTTTTCCCCTTGGACTTTTACTGAGAGGAGGCTCTCCTGCACTTAAGTGGCTGTTCAGAGGATTTGTTTTGTTTGGGTTTGTTTCTCTCCAGGACAGCAAGTGGTGGGTTTACTCTTTCTGTTATTGTAGACTTAGGAAATTTCTTGCTGCAGAAACGTGTGTGTATTTAGGTATGTGTACGCATGTGTTCTACAGAATTCTGTGAGCCAAAAATACCTGTTTGTGTTTTGCTTTTTCCTAAAGTCTTGATTCCTCCCCACCCCCAACCCCATTCCTGTCTCCTTTCAAGGTCGTTGTCAAAAATCTCTTCTGTCTGTGTTCTAAGACATCAGCCGGAGGGAATTCTAAAGGCCTGCCATGCCAGAATCACAGATACTGCGTGTATTTAGAACAGACTGTGCTACAACCATAATGCGCTGCACGCAGCACAGTTCTCAGCTTTCAAGCTGAGTTGGGAGGAGGAGGAGAAAGGGGAAATCTTTCTTTCTTCCTTCCTTTCTTTTTTTAAAGGCAAATGCAGTGCAGAATCATTTCACTGTGGGCCTTGGTTTGTTTATTCAGAACTGCCAGTTTCCCTATTTAAATGTTGGTTGGGGTTTTTTCCCCTCCTACTCATCCCTGAATGAGGGAGACTCTTGTTTCTTTAATGTCTCTCTCTTTTAAAAAAAAGGGTGTGAGGGGAAAATAATATTTCAGATTCCTCAAGAATTAACCCAAAATGTTTGGACCAGAAGCAGATTTCAAAGGTCAGGCTGTTCTAAGCTTTGGCTATGAGAGTCCTTCCGGCGATTCATTAAATTACAGATGAGTTCTTAAAGGTTTCACAAAATTTCTGCACATGTTAATTTCCAATAACGATATCATCCAAAATAATGTACCTCTCCATCCCTCAAATTTGGGTTTATAATGGAGACGTGAGCAGAGCTATGAAAGATTGCTGGCTGTTTCCTGGGATCTTTGGGATCTCTTTCCCAAAAGAAGTCTATAAGAAGTTCATATCTATTGCTGACAATGCTGTGGTTGATGCAGCCCCCTTTTTAAAAGGCTGCGTTGGGGGTTTTAGAACCAGGAGAGGTCCAAAGGAGGTGATTATTTTCTACATGGCCCGGAGCTTAGGAAATACGTAGGTCCGTCCCTGAGAAATCTGAATAGTTTAATATTTATTTACAGCCTCTCAGAAAAGCATGTCATGTGACAAATTTTTTTAAAAATATACATAGGTCTAATCCTGTCACTGTTGTTGAAATGAACATTTTACCCTTAAAGGCACATGATATTGTCAAGTCGCAGATTCATTCTGCCAGAGGCTTATGTTTGTTTTTTTTAATCATCTCATTTCCCCTCATTTTCAAAGAGTTTTAAATGAATCCCACTGGATTCAAAATGACAACTCGACTTTACTGAAGTGAGTTTATTTGTGTATTTATATGTGTGATATTTTTTTTCTTTTATGAGCAATAAGAACTTTAGGGTCTCTTGGGAGTATCTATATGGTTTGGAATGTGAATTGTATGAATCTGCCCTATTATTGGTGGTACAATGAGGTTTTATGATTTTTGGATATTTTTCTTGTGAAAGTTGCCCTCTAGCCTCATTGGTCCTTCCCCCAACCCCACCTTAACACACTCAGCTTGTCCCTTCTGCATTCTCTTTGCTACTTCAATTTTAGCCCCATGGGGGCGCTGAAGAGCAAAGGGAAATCTGCTCCCTCTGGCAATAGAATTAACCCGAGTGGGGGCTGGGAAGGAATCCACCCTTTTTGTACCTCAGTCCTCTTTAATTCTCTGCAGGGAATGCTAGGAGGGAGAACCCACCAGGCTTGACTTTGAGATGATTAACCCCATCACTAGGGACCTCAAACCTTCTCAGCATATTATTTCTGGGACCACGTTCCAGAGTCCTACCTTTTCTTTTCTTTTTTCTTTTTCTTTTCTTTTCTTTTTTCTTTTCTTTTCTTTTTTCCTTTCTTTCTTCTTTCCTCTTTTCTTTTTTCTCTCTTTCTTTTTCTTCTTCAATTTTTTTTTTTTTTTTTGCCAAATCAAACTGTTTACATTGAAAGAAATTCATTAACACAGGCCATTACAAGAAAAAAAAAAATTATTGAAAATATTCCGAAGGTAGAGATTTACTTTTAGGTAGGCCCCTTCCTCTCTATTGAATGAGTGGCAAGGAAAATTGTGCACCCACCTCTCAATCTCTTTTCAATTCCTAGGAATAAACTTTATCAAATTTTATACCAATTGAATTTCTTCCAGCATATTCTTCCTTCTCTCATTTTAATCACTCTCCGTTAGTAACCAGTTCGCATCGCTATGTAAGTCTCCCTCACTACAGCAGTGCTACCATTATAGGATTAAAGGTAAGATTGACTTGAATATATTCAAATTCTTTTAAATCATCCTGAAGAAACTCTAAAGAGAAATTCCGTGTCTGGAGTCTTATGTGTGATTCCTGGAGATATGGAGGGGCTGTGTATCAACCAGTCCTATGATTTAATGACTCTACTGGCTATTAATACTCAGAATAGGGGACCAGCCCAGCCTTTGCTCGGTGGACTGGGCATAGTAATAGGTTCCTAATTGCAGCTGCTGGGTAAATATAAGCTTTGTTATAAAATAAAATATCCTGGTCCTAATGTTACAACTATTTAAGGAAAGGAACACATTTTGCATCCAGTTCCACTCATGAAATCTTCCTCACAATTCAGTCATAGCTGAAAAGGAACCTATTGTTGGAATAAACACTGTCTGGTCTCATTCTAAGGGGGCTCCAAACAGGAAATTGTTTTCTCCTGTCAGGAACTTCTGCTACCTGGGCAGATCTATAAACTATCACATTACAGAATTACAGACTTTCAAGCTGAAAGGGACCTTGCCCATCAATAACACAACTCCCCCAGGTTTCCTTCTACCAGGGGAAGCTGGCCCTCAACTGTAGACATGCGTGACCCCAGGAACACAGCTGAAAGGGGGTCTTTGTGGATTGATGGTTCTGTGTCATTTTAGAAAATCAGGGTGATATGACTATCTAGGTTTGGAGGAAGTTACCTTATTTTCTGGCAGAATTGAGGGAAGGGAAGCAAGGCTACTTTGGGCTCTGTGTAAATTATAAACTGGTTCTCAGAACAAACTCCAAGTCATGATAAGTATTGACTTTTGATGGTCATTTGAATTTGGTTATGCTTGTCACCTGTGCTGTTGTGACACTATTTTTGATGGATATTGGAGATGTTATTTACTTGACATGAAAATTTTTACCTATTCATTTTATTTCAATTCCTTCATTTAGAGCTATTGCAAGCAAGCTCAGTATATTATCATTAGAGAGAAAAAAGGAGTTTTCTTGGTATTTTTCAGAGATATGGAGCAGAAAGTTTTGAGACATTAAAAAAAAGATGATTTCTAGCCACTACTTTCTGAAAAAGTGCCGACGTTTAATTTTGATCCATATGCTTCCTGCTTTCAGCCTGTATTATTCTAAGACTTGTTTTTTCTTTTCAGCCTAGATCAGAATTTTTCCCCCAAACACTGATTTTTCCACTTTTCCCACTTACATGAAATGGAAATAAATATCGGGAGCTTAAAATAGAGAAGTAATTGGGGGGGGTGGGGGGTGGCATGTAATCATTTGTTTATTGCATTCGATCACTGTTTTGAATAGCAGGGTTTTCACTTCCTATGAAACCTTCGCATGAAGGAAAGCAGCAGCTGGACTCTGAGAGGGATGAGAGGAGGAAAGCACTTGAGTGTTTGTAAACTCAGGGTGGAGGGCCCACCCTTCTGCCCGCTGCTGTACTTAGCTGTCTTTACTACTTAAGGCTAGAAGTGGAAAAACTTGATTTGCATGTTGTGCCTGAATTTTTTTTTTTTCTTTTTTCTCCACACCGCCCTCTGTACACCTGACCATGCAGAAGCCTATCTGAAGCCGGCTTGATGGCAGGGAGAGCTGGAGAGCGGAAGAATGTGCAGCGGGAGGGAGTGCTTGGTACTTTTCCATTCACATCTCCACAGTGGCTTTTCTTGTTTATTTCAGCCTCCACCCGCAGGAACCTTTCTGCTGCTTGAAATTCGAGTCATTAAACTGTTCCCTGTGGTCAGACTACAGATGTTTGGTGCATGTTTCCTACATGTCGGTGTCTGTGTAGCATATGTACCTATAGAGACACACACACACACAAACGTGTAACTCCACAGGGGCATAGTGTGAGGTTGGGGCGGGGCGAGGGGGGCGGGGAGGGGGAGACACTGGATAGGTTGCCAAAAAGCCTTTGTTTCTAATTACAGTTCTGCCTGGAAGTCCTTACGGGACCTGGAGCAAAACCACTTGTCAAGACTCAGTTTCCTTGACTATGTGAAGGAATAACCCAGATGATATGCATGTCTATTTGTTCAAAATTCTATACCCATGTATCTAAATGCATATTTACATAACTTTAAGGTGGGGAGGGAGAGATGGAAAGGAGCTTTGTGTACCTGGGATGGGGGAAAGGGTTAAAATTTAAACTTCTAAGTAAAGAAGGCAATCCCAGAATTCTCACCTCTATCAATTTTTAACCAATTGTAGACCAAAGTCTGGGATTATGCTGAGTTGGGTCCAAAAGCCAACTGAAGATTTTAAATGTTAGGAGTTGGAAGAGGCAGTTTCTAAGACCTTGTACTTTTGATCTCCAGCATTCAGAATCAAATGTGACAATTCCCAAGTGTCTTTTCTGCCCTAGAATTCTTCTGTAGTTTTGTTTGTTTTTGGAAACTGTCCTAGTTAATGATAGAAAGGAGATGACACTTGTAAACTGGGCAGTCTTTAAGCCACAGAGCTCCATGTGGGTGTGAAAAATATGTCATAATGTGGAGAGAGAGAGAGAGAGAGAGAGAGGAGAGAGAGAGAGAGAGAGAGAGAGAGAGAGAGAGAGAGAGAGAGAGAGAGAGAGAAACCTAGAGAGAGAGATTCCTAGTAAGAAACTTAGAGGTAACCCAGCCATCACTGCATTGAAGGTAATTATTTGAAGTCAGAGGAAATTACAGATGAGGAGTTTGCCTTTACAAAAAAAAAAAAAAAAAAGAAAAGAAAAAAGCCTTGGTCTACCAGAAGAAACTTGAAGTTAATGAAAGAGATATTTTCCATCAAATTAATATTTCCTATATTTTTAAAAAATATTTCCTATAGTTTTTAAATCTTCATTCTTGAAAAAGAAAAGTCTAAAATTTTTCAAATCTGATTGTCTAGATAAAATAAGGTCTTTAACAGCAGTGACCGCCATACTACCACCATCTCTCCACTGGCTTAGACCTTCTGGAATATTATTGGTACCCCATGGACAAGGAGAGGTGGAGCCAGTTACATAATATACTAGAACTGGGAGGGTCCTTAGCAATTATCCAATCCAACACTACTGATTTTGTATAATTGGAAATTGAGGCCCAGGCAGAATGTTTTTGCCACACACACTGAATCACTGACAAAGCTGGATCCAGAATTTGGATGCTCTGGTTTAAATCTGGGCTATGGCTTTTCCATGCTTATCATGGAAAGAGGATTTGGAGTGGGTAGCCCTGAAAAATAGACATTTTCTGTGGCCTTACATTTACAGAAGGCCTCACATTTGGACTTTTACATGATCTTCCCAGAGTTTCTCCATCAGTCTTTCCATACATAGACAGATGGAAAGAAGATCATTTTACATGTGCTTTGTGTTGGGTCCCAGCGTAGGACTCAGTATATGATCCCCCACAGGCTCCTAAGGTACTGTGATTTAATATAGTTAATAAATCTATAGTTGTTTTATGAATGGTGCAATTGTATCATAGTTGGGTGCATGTTGAAGATAATAATTTTACATTTAAAATATCATTTGGCCTGAAAACAATGATGCTGCAGTAGCAGTGAGCACACCAAGCAGATCGTGACCTGATACATTCTCCAGTATCGGGAGGCAAGGCTTTTGAACAAATGGCTAATTCTAGTTCTAGGACTGGAGCAGGAAATACACAAAATTAGAATGGGACATCTTGTAGCACCATAGAGTAAGGAATTGTTAAAAACAAAAGCTGTATCAATGAGGGATATTTCAAAGAGATCCTAAAGCCACCTGAAGAGCTCCAATGGCCAAATCTGGAAAATTTTGAGCAACAAAATAGAGTAATATTGAATTACAACCCAAAGTATAAAATGAATATCCACGAATCCACACAGATATAAATAAATTATTAAATATATGAATAAATGGGAGAAAAGATATAAATCTCCCTTGCAGAAGAATTCCAAATAATTTATGAAGATACACTGCCCTCAAAGAGAGGAAGTATAACTCCCTACTTTTAAGTGTGAGCTGTGCATGGTGCCTTTCTTCCAAAGAGGACAGTATGGGAGGGCGGATGAGGGTGAGAGGAATTTTGTGTAGACAAACCTGCCAAACAGAGTACATCAAACCGGTCATCAAGGACAACATCAATAGTGATAAACCATGGTGATTGTATCTACCTTTGATATGAGGTGATGAAAATGGTTCTCTACCTACATGACTCCTCAAAAGCGTCAAGGTCATAAAAAAGCAAGGAAAGTCTGAAGTAGTCAAGAATAGCCTGAGGAGATATGACAACTTAATGTAATATAGTAATCTAGATGGGAGCATGGAATAGAAAAATACATAAGGTAAACCTAAGCAAACCTGAATAAATGACGGACTTAAGTTAATATGGTATCAATATTATTTTGTTAATTGATACAACTGTTCCATCGTATTGTAAAATGTTAATAATAGGGAAAACTGGGCTCATAGTTGTTCTCTGTACTATCTTCTCAATTTATATATAAAGTTGGAGAGGGGAGTGGGGAATAGGGGCATATCTTTATTTCCTTTTCAATACCAGAAATCTCCAAAAAGTGAGTCGGGCCTCTCTCAACATCTGAGAGGGCTTGCTTCCCATCCAACCATGCCCCCAAAATAGAATCAACGAAATAAGGAAGCCTGCATTTATTCTTTTAGTTTACTAAATTGAAAGCGATTTAACTATTTTCTGTATAAAGAACTAAGAGGAGAACACTAGGGAAGCACCAAAGGCCAAATGTTGTCATGATGGTAGATGACTTGAGACACCTTATAAATCCACTTATTCCAGGTTTCTTTGTGGAAACCTTCCATGGAAACAAGGCCTAGAAAAATCTTTCCATCAGTCCATATAGGACAATAGGACTTGCGGATTCATCACTGAGGTTGGGGGAGCCTCAAGAGCTTCATGGATTATGTGCTCTTTCATTGTACAACTCCAATAGAACTTTGGATCTCCTCAGAGTTGAATAGCAGAGTTGTAACCCTGGGGTATCTAAAGAACTGCTGACTGGACCCCAAAACTCTAGAAATTTTTATTCATTTTCTAGATAACATCCCATAATCTAAATTGGGAAGGTCAAGAGAGGATAATGGTTTGCAAAGATCACCCAGCAAATGAGTGGTAGAGTTAATTCCCATCAACCAGTCCATCCTGAGTTATTTATTTTGCTTCAGTCTTCACTTCAGTAAACTGAGGACTGCTATTACCTTGATACACTACATTATTTTAGAAGTGCTTCATTAATTTCTAACCAATTGTCAGTTATCAATGGTGTCTAGTTCGAATGCTGCACTTGAGTTTCCAGTATCTTTTCCTTCTTTCCCATTCCCTTCTTTTCCCACTTCTGTCAGCTTCTCTACCAAGTGGTTATAAGATCTGTGAATCAACCCTTTTATTTACTATGGAGGCTGACATGTAAATAATTCTTGGTGAAATGCAGTGAGACTGAATCCTCTCATACACCATTTCAGTTAGCATGACTCAGTAATCTATTTGGTCATGTATTTCAAGAGTCATAAATATAGTAATGCCCATTGACCCAGTAATTTTACTTCTAGGAATCTATCTTCAAGGCACAGTTCAACATATAGGGAAAAGTATCTTTGAATGAATATATATGCATTCAAGTATTCTATCTAACAACAAAAATTTTCAACAACCTATACGTCCCATCATGATTCATTTGGGGGAAAGGATGTTGGGTGGAAAATAGTTAAATAAATTATAATACAACTAATTTTTAAAAATTGGAATTGGAAAATACTTATGGTAACAGGTGAAGTGAAAAGAAGTAGGATATATATATATATATATATATATATATATATATATATATGACATATATGTAAGTAGTGTATTCATAACTGTTTAACAATACTCTTCATAGAAATTAGACTGGATATACATACACAGGAGTACACAATTAACAAAAAAATATTTATAATGGCTATTTTAGGGTTGTAGGATTATGGTTGAATATTTTTCTCCTTTATTTTTTCTTTATATTCCAAATTGTGTAAAGTTCATATATTAATTTGATATACTAGTATATCTCACAAGCTCACCCTCAATAGATGGAAGAGCCCTCGGTGAAAGCTTTTACATGCAAACAATTAGTTCTCTAATTTAGAGTTTTGGATGTTTGACCTAAAGTCAAAACTTCCCACATCTTTAGGGCATAGAGCAAAAGTGAGAACTGCCCACTCACTCTTGGAGAAGACCTTTCACTCTGGGAGACACTTGTCTCCACTCCAACAAAACATCACCCTTTTTGAGCATATTGACCATAATGAGATTAAACAAATCCTGTAAATCTTTGATCTGTTTCCACCTCCCCATTGGTTTTAGTATGCTTATCTTGTTTGTTGGTGTTTCACAGCATTTGCAAATGTCAAAGGGTTTCCTGGTTTCTTCACTGTCTCTGTGAACCCACCCAGTAGCTCTCCTCGTAGATAGACCTTCATTGGCTCCTTCTGGGGCTCCAGGAGATTTGTTTTCTATTCTTATAACACATTTGACTAATGAATGCTAAGGAAAACAATGTAAAAATAAACTATATCAATGTTTATTTCTTCAGAGACTCATAAGACTGTTAGGAACTTTGGGGGATTATACATTATTTGAATCACTATTCCTCAACAAAGGGCATGGGAGTAGACATCAAAATCTAGGGGGTGAGGGTAAGGACCATGGTTCGGATAAGCACCTCTTCCCTTAAGCCACTGACTAATTCTTCATGCTCAGCTTTCTCTATTCACTCACTCATTCATCATTCA